ACGTGCAGTGCCCTCGGCCAGGGACAGTGCTGGCCCTTCAGAATGGGGCAGAGCATGGGGGCCCAGCAGTGAGGATGAGGGGCAGGGGCCTTTCTCACGTGTGGCAAGATTGCACGGTGCTGCTAGGCCAGGATGGGGCCCATTTGATGTCACCCTTTCCACGAGCTGTGGGGTGGGCAGTGGGGCAGAGCTGGTGTGGGGGCTGAGGCCTCCCCGCGCTGCAGTGCTGGCCCCGCGGGGCCGGGCCCGGCACAGGCGATGCTCTGCGGCGCGGCCCCCGCCGGGAGGAGCCAGCCGTGACGCCAGAGGGGAGAAAGTCCAGGGCAGCCGACGCGGGGTGAGAAACAGGGTCAAGGGCTGCGGACAGAGCAGAGCCACCACCACCGCAGGGTCCTGGCATGGCCCTGTCCCTGCAGCCACCATGCAGTGCAGGCAGAGAGCCCTGGACTGCGAGCCACCTTGCAGTCACGAGCATGGGGGCTTGATGCGAGCCCACGGCCATCTCTATCGCCCTTAAGCACTAGCCCTGGCTTGCAGCACCCACTAGCACTTCAGGCCTGTGCTGGTCTTCCCCCTGCTGCTACATTTTGAAGGGCCTGGGGGCCAGGCTGGGGCTGTGGGGGGCTGGCAGCAGCCTCGTCCTGCCCTTGGCGAGCACGGTGCCACGCGCGGAGGTGGCTGTGCGGGGCTGCGGGCGCCTCTCCCAGCCGGGCGCTGGCACTCGCGGGCCAAGAGGCGGCACCGTGCTCGCTGCTTTCCCGGCCGGCTGGTGCCCTCTCCTGGGGAGCAGCGCCCAAGGCTCATCCCCGCAGCACCCGCGCTGGCACCCCGGCCCCACCGGCACTGCAAGCAGGCTGAGGCGGGGGCGCAGGCTGTGGTGATGGTGCCCACAAGCACGGTGGCACGTTGGGCACAGCTGTGCTCGATGGGTTGACTCCGAGGAGAGGCTGGCCAAGGTGACATGAAGACACAGGGACAGGACAAGGCACTAGGGAAGACTAAGGGCAGCAGCAGGGATGGCGAGGGGGAACTTGGGTGTGGAGGCAGGGGAAGGAACTAGGAGTGCCAAATGGGGCGGGAGTTATTGGGGCAGAATGGGGGTGACAACGGGACAAGTGAGGGTGAGGAAGCTGCGATGTTTAGTTGTGAACGTGGCTGTTAGAAGAGAACAGGGGTGAAGGGGGCCCTAGGGGAGGACTGGGGTGCCAGGATGGAGGGCTGAGGGTGCCACGAGGGATCTGGGCTAACTGGAGGCCCCCTACGATGACTGGAAGGGGGCAGGGGAGGGGCTGGGGGCTCAGGGTGTTGGGGATG